TGGTATAGGTGGAGTAATAGTGGCGATGGTATGGGTGATGGCAGGCGGTAGCGACTGTGGTGGAAGTGGTGGCAACGACGACAATGTGGTGGCAGTGATGACGACAGAGGTGAGATTAGTTGAGTTGGAGTTGAGGTTATGGTGGTGGTGGTGGCAGTGGCAGAGACAGTGGTGGCGGGGGAGATGTGATTAGTTGGGGTTGAAACAAATTTAGATTTTGAAAAAAATATTTTGCTTCAGACTTTTGTATTTTTTAGAATATAGATGTTTTAGCTTCGAAAAAAAGTAAGTTTTTTAGCTTTTTTTTGTGACTTATCTTTTTTAAAAAATAGACATCCAAACACTAGTTTATAGTTAGAAGGATTTTTCTTTTTGAAAAAAAAAAACTTTTGGAGAGAACAAAATGGCTATATAAATAGGCTCAACTATTACAATATGTGCTTTGATGCGTTCTATTGAGCCATCAGAATTACACTTATTACGATACTCATATTTATAAGGTTAAAGGATGATTAGTTTGAAGTACATCAGTTTCCTTTTTCATGGCCTCCTTCAAACGAAAGTCTAGCATGACTTGCCTGAAAATTTGCGATTCACTATTTCCAATGATAATTTCAAAAAAGGCCTTGCATAATAGGAAACAAAAAATCTTAACAAAGGCAAATTTGCAAGATAACACTAATATGAAATTATATATATAAGGAGGGATCTTTTGACTTCAATGTAAGAATTAGAAGTCTTTCTCCCCATCCAAATTATTAATTTTTGTCCATCTGACGATTGTCATTTATTTGAAATTAATAATTAATTAATTAGTATAACTTAATAAACTATAACCATTAAATAGACGAAAATCAATGGTTAAGACGAGGAGTAAGACTTCCAAGTCTTACACCGGAGTCAAAAGACTTCTCCCATTTTTCATCCATCTAACGATTATGGTTTATTGAGTTATACTAATTAATTAATTATTAATTTCAAATAAATGACAACCATTAAATGGACAAAAATCAATGGTTATGATGGGGAGTAAGACTTCTAAGTCTTACATCAGGGCCACTTAAGATAAGTTCATCTTAAGCCACACACTTATAACTATGTACTACGAGTAGTACATAGTTATAGTTTTAAAATTGTTTTTTTTCTCTCCACATCAGCATACGAGTTCTGAAAAATGTCTGAAAAAAGAAAAAAGAAAAAACAACTTTAACATCATAACTATGTACAACCCATAGTACATAATGTTAAGGGGTGGCTTGAGATAAGCTTATCTCAAGTGGCTAGAGAAATGCTTACCTCATGTATATGTAGGCAAAAATATTTCTCAAGTTGTTGGACGTCCAGCTAGTAATCTTGATCGTTGATTCTCATTTATTCTCCGTATTTAATGTTTTTACCCATCTATGTATAATTATGATTCCAATTTGGACGTCCAGCAACTTGAGAAATTATAACCCAATATATATATATGTGTGTGTATGTATGTATGTATGGGAAAAATATTTATAAAGTCACTTGAGATAACCTTATCTCTTGCCACCCTAAAACTACGTCATTTTGGGTACTAGGAGAATTAATGAAAGGTGTTTTAATATTTTTGTTTATTTATATATTATGAGTTTTACCAAAATATCCTTCATTAATTCTCCTAACACTCAAAGCGACGTAGTTTTGGGGTGGCCAGAAATAAGGTTATCTCTAGTGACTTGAAAAACGATAAACCCTTGTATATATATACATATATACATATATATGTATATATACACACATGTATATACACACACACACACACACACACACACATATATATGGGCTTATCGTTTCTCAAGCTGCTTTAGATAATTTTATCTCCGGCTACTAAATCATAACCGTACAAAGATGGATCAATGGTGATAAAGAAAGAGAGAGAAAAAGAGAATCATTACCATTCAAAGGTGAATCAAATAATATAAGGAAATAAATACACAAAACGACGTCATTTTGGAGTAGCTGGAGATAAACTTATCTCAAGTTGCTGGAGAAATGTTTTTCCTTATATAGATACACACACATGTGTATGTGTATGTATATATATATATGTATACACACATATATATATATGTATACATATATATGGTAACCGAGAGATTATGATAAACTTATCTTATTGACTCATTTTATCCTTTTCGCAGCAGGATTTGTTATCCTAAAGGGGAACTTAGGTTATGAATAGACAAGATAGTATCCCAAATGTCACATCTCTCATTCCAAATATAGCCCCACGCTTTTCCTCTATGAACTTTGCTGGGCATATGAGGGTAAGCTCGTGCCACGACCAGCTGCCACCATCATCGCCATTGGCTACCTCTGCCACCCACTACTACCACCATTATCCATTAACCAATCACCACCGACCATCGCCATGAGCTACCAGCCACATCCATTGTTATCGACTATCACCACCCTTAACTAGTAGGCACTAACCACCACCATCACCATCGATCAGCCCCCCACAATTGCCACTGGTCATAGCCCGCCACCACCACAATTGATGTTTTTGCCATTGGCCACCGCCACCACCACCTTAACCACCAGGCATCGACCATCATCGCCACCCCCCACTTGCTGCCGTTGCATTAACCACCACCACTACTGTCGTCGTCACCATCAATCAGCCACCACAATTGTCATCGGCGCCATCACCACCCCCAATTGCCACCAGCCCCCATAGTTGCCACCACCATCACTTCAATCGGTTACCCACTGCACCAATCGCCACTACCATCAACCATTGTCATTAGCCACCAACCACCAATATTAACAATCAATTTAAAACTCAATTCTTAAAATCTTATTTGGTGGAGATATAATTTGTTTGTATATTTTTTTATAATTTATTTGTGTATTTAACATATTTTATTTAAAATTATGATTCTTAATTTTTTTAATAATTAAAAACAAGACTAGTGTGTAAATAAGGTAATATTGTCATATGAGAATGTTTATCTAGTACACATCAAATATATATAATAAGATGTGTGCTTATCATATCCATATCCTCTTCTATTCTTATCTAGCCCTCTTATCATTTTTTTTATTATATCTTGTCTGCCAAACGAGTCATTCGAAAATAAGTAAAAATATGAAGATATGGTGATGATTCACTTATCAATATCAGATTCTTTTAAATGTGGAATATTAAGGACAAATTTCAATATTAACGTATTTCCCATGTATGCAGGAAATATTATAATGTTGTTCCATATAAAAAAAAACTTACATAATATTTCTGTTTACAATGGTATTTTATTAATTTCATTAAAATATAGATATTCTAGCCGAAGACTATATTTCATGTTGACCATTCAAGTTGTATTATTTTATATATACGTTTATAAAGATAATAACTATTAACTAAATATATTTTCTTTACATATAAATATAATATAATATGTAGAATATTAATTTGTGCTTTTTTTTTGGAAATAAATGTATAAAAAAATGTGTTTATGCTTTTTTGAATAACTGAATAAGTAGTGTTTTTTAAATTTTTTGTTAATTGATATCGAGATGATAATACATTAATAGAAGATATAATTTTGTTTGGTACATGAATGCAAGATATTTTAAAGGGAAAAGTTCACCAATGCCCCTATGGTTTACTCCATAATCACTTATGTCCCTGTGGTTTTTTTTCGATCACATATGCCCCTGTGCTTTGTAAAAACTAAGAAACCACAGGGGCATAAGTGATAAAAAACATACCCTTTTATCAACCACAGAAGCATATGTGATAAGAAAAAACCACAGAGACATAAGTGATTCTGGAGTAAACCACAGAGATATTAGTAAACTTTTCCCTATTTTAAATAATTTTTTTCTTCTAATTTTTGTGCATAGCCCGGAACAAAAACTTGTCTACGAGCACATTCGTAGGGATTTCGATCTTTTATATAAAAAAGTGATTCATAGTATTTAAAAATCATATATATATATTTTTCATATTTTTTTTTTTCTTTTCTCACGATCAACGAGTAATCATGATCAAATAATATCACCATAACTATACGATTACTTTTCCGCAGGCAGTGGCGGAGCCACGTTATACCTGGGTGTGGCCCGGGCTAATTTTAACAAATTGTACTTATCATGTATAATTATATAATTAATTATAATTTGGCCAGTCTAAAATTGTAATTTGGCCCTATCAAAAAATTAAAATATATTTGGTGAGAGATTTGGGTAAGTTGTACTAAGTTACGTGTTCCATTTCCATTTATATAAAAATATTAAAATATAGGAAAAACTTCAAAAAAACCCTTATAACTTTATTCATAATCATTTATCTCCTCTCCAAAATTTTGAATCATTTACTCCCTAACTTAAAGTTTTTTCATCATTTAGGGGGGTAAATGATGAAAAAACTTTAAGTTAGGGGGTAAGTGATAAAAAAAATCTGAATAAGGATGTAAATGATTCAAAAAATTTGTGAGGGGTAAGTGATAATTAAGAAAACTAATAGGGATTTTTTTGAAGTTTTCCTTAAAATATATTCAATAAAATTTAAATTTTTTTAATAAAATTATATTTCTTTTTTATGCTTTCTGCTCAAGTGTTTTGTATTTAATATAATTTAAATATATTATAATATGAACTAACTAAAATTAAGAAAAATAAATACACATATAATTTTTTGGCCTAGCTCCGCCACTGTCCGCAGGATCTAAATTCCATTTGTAGGATCAAAGGTAAGCCACGTGTCGCACATCTAAAGAACCACATAGAGAGGAGCAAGTAATACGTGTACCGCAGAAGAACCCAAACACCAGAACCAGTTCTGCTGCTCGACAAAACATAAGAGAGAGAGAATCAAGAGAGGGAGGGGCACTACCCAGTAATTAACTCAAAATCCGAGGCTATTTATTTGAGTACCCTAAGGCAAAAAATGACAGCGACGCCAGGATAGAGAAATAGAGAGAGAGAGAAACCCCAAAAACCGAAATTGCCCATCATCCAAACAGCGCCTTCCCTCTCTTTTAAAAGACACCCTGTGCTTTTTCTCTCCCCCTCTTTACCCTTTTGCGTTCTCTCTCTCTCTCTCTCTCTCTCTCTCTCTCTCTTCGTCTTCGTGTTATCGTGCTCTTCTCAAACAATCTCCTCCTCACAGTTTCGTCTTCTTCTCGATCTCATCACTGTGAGTAATCGACTCCCAATTTCTAACCCTATTTTACCTATCCAATACAATCGTTTCTTAGATCCCGAATCGATTCTGAAATTATGTTTGCTGTTCATATCATCGAATTTTTTCCCCTTTTCTTTTTAATCTTTAAAGCTCTGCATTCGCTTTTTGTTGTCATATTAGATTTCGATTTTTTTTCTTTGATTGTTAATTTTCGCTTTTTTAATCTGTATTTAAAGATTTATTTATTTTTAGTTCTGATTAGTGGTTTAATTGATCTGCGGTGTCTCGTTTCGCCGTACTTCAAAATATTTTTTATTTTTTATTTTTAAGAGATTCGGTGTATTTATTATATTAATTAATCAAATGTTGCTAGACTCGAAAGACTGCGGGGGGTTTTATTTTGATTTGCAGCTCGCTTCCCTGACGCTATTATTATTATTATTATTTTTTTAACGTTGAAATTTGCATTTTCTCAATTTATTTTTTTTTTCTGGTATTTTTTTTGTCACAGTATCCCTAAACTGAATGCTTTACAATCTAAAGAGACTGTGAACTTTTTTTGCGGGGTGGGTGATAATTTTCACTGTCACAGCTGTGGTTTGGTTCCTTTTTTCTCACACGTGGTTTCTTGGGTCAATTCTTGGGTCAAAATAGGTTTTTGAGTTCGCTGGATGTGTTTTTCCTCTTTTCTTTGAAGATAATTCCGGCCTAAGCTGTTGATTCTTAGTGTTTGTGATAATATAATTATGTTTAATTGACATGTGTTTCGTGGTTTACCCCAATTTTCATTTAGGGCAATCATGAGTGACCAAGGAGATAGGACTTGTCCTCTCTGTGCAGAGGAGATGGATTTGACAGATCAGCAGTTGAAACCTTGCAAATGTGGTTACGAGGTTTGATTCTATATCTATTTTCTTTTTAGGCAATGATTTGGAGGTTTTTATATAATCTGTTGCAGAAGAAAACGGTGTTTTTAACGGTTAATTAATCTCCTTGTTAGTTCAGCCACTTTTTCTTTGGTCTATGTAAATTTTCATTTCTCTTTATCTTTTTAACGTTTGTCAAGGTTTATGCCTTTATGGTTCATATTTCCCTGCCCTTTTCCATGTTTTTTCTTATTATATTCAGCCTGTAATAGAGCAAGGTGCCATTTTTTTAATTGAGTATTATGTAGTGTTACTGTTATTAACTGGATTTTGTGATTACTTTTCATACTAGTAAGTATTGTTGAGATTTTTTTACTCGTAACTTTAAAGAAGGTAGAAATGGTGGTTAGAAGAAAGTGTTAGTTCTTCATCTTTTGAAACTGTTAATGTTTTTTTTCCTGATGACTTATCCTTATCACAAAGGATTCATTATGATAATATCATTTTCATCTCTCCTTGATTTCAGATATGTGTCTGGTGTTGGCACCACATAATGGACATGGCTGAGAAGGATGACACAGAGGGGCGATGCCCCGCGTGTCGATCTTCTTATGATAAGGAAAAGATTGTTGGGATGGCTTCAAACTGTGAGAGGTTAGTTAACTGTTTCTGTAGGATTGGAAATGTTGTTCTGTTTCCATAGGCCTTTTTGTTACTTATTCAATGTGCATTCCTGTATAACTATTATCAAAATAATGTTTTTCGATAAGATTTGAGAAACTCATGTTTGAGAGGATCAAAGGAAAATACTAGTTATTGAACTTTTTGTTTCTAAGATTTTTTTGCTTTTCAAACTATTTATACTGAGTCCTGAGTTGACATTTTTATTCTGTATTTCTCTTGATGAAATTTTTCTTGTAGATTGGTGAATGAAATTAATATGGAGAAGAAAATGAAGAATCATAAAACAAAGTCTAAATCATCTGATGGGCGGAAGCAGCTAAGCAGTGTGCGAGTGATTCAGCGGAACCTTGTTTACATAGTTGGCTTGCCTCTCAATCTGGCAGATGAAGATGTAAAAATTTTACCATCTTGCTCAGATGTTCTCTGATCCACTTGAATTTTTTGGTCTGTTTTCCTTAAAACAAACTTTTATTTCTATAACCATTATGCAGCTTATCCAGCGGCGAGAGTATTTTGGTCAGTATGGTAAGGTCTTAAAAGTGTCAATGTCTCGGACGGCAGCTGGTGTCATTCAACAGTTTCCGAACAATACTTGCAGTGTGTAAGTATATTCTCTGTAAGTTATAGGCTTAGCTGTTTCCTTAATGGTATTATGGTTTTCTATTAGTTAGCTGGCCATATTGGTTGCTACCGTCAGTCCGAGAGTTTACGTAAACTCATGGGGTTCGTGGACTCATCCCTTAAACTTGTAAGAGTTTACTATTACAAAAATATAATAAAAGAACGTATCATATCATCTATTACCCTCCAGTTTTAGACATATTGTAATGGGGACAACAGGTTAACGGGCCATAGGTAAGAAATAACAATTCAGAAGTGTCATTCACAAATAATAAAGGCTAGAAATAACAATGAACCAAGGCAAGAAATGAACAATTTCTGTAATATCAATTTTCAACCAATTAACCAACAAATCATTGGGTTGAAAGAATAGGTTTCGCCATGTAAGAACAGAACACAAGAGAATGAACAGGTTTGACCATAAAAGAACAGAACACAATGGGGTTTGAAATTGAAAGATATATACTAGAACTACAGGTTGAAGCTGGACTGGAAGTTAATGGTTGAAGCTGAGTTGATGAGTCACAATTGATCTTCTGATACTGGGTTCGGTTCATTGATCGAAATGCGGAATCTGGGATCATGATGCTAGATTCTGGTTCATGACGGCTGGAAGCTGGGTTCGGTCTCACGGTGGATTTGTGTTCTGTCTCACAACGGTTGGACGCTGATTTTGCTGAAAATTCCAAGGCTGAGCTGCACTTTAGGTTTTCTTAGCAACCCACACGTTTTGGGCATTTGGGGGCATAAATTAGATCAGTTCTTGTGAACTCCTCCCAGGCTCACAATTTTGTGAGTTTCACCAATTCAGTTGGAGTAAACCTGGGTCTATGAAGAATCAGGTTAACTTGATTTTGGTACCTATGATCATGAACCCATACGTACTACGATATAACTCGCAAGTCTGACAACCATGGCTACTGACTTACCGTAAATAGACCTTTTACTGCTTTGTTTGCTTGTCAATGACACGAATTAGATAGCTAGGAACCTGTATAGTTTTGGATTATTGAACATTTCTTTTGACACTGGAAGGAAGGAAAGGAAATAAATGACCGGCAAAAAAGTCTTAATCAAATGCAATTTTTTTCTAGGTAAAATAGAAGGAAAAGGCCATTTCTATACATAGCATGGGCTCAAAAAGACCTGTGAACCATTTTATTCCCTGGTTCTATATCAGCATGTTTGACTACCATTATATACTACATTTAACATTAATATAAATTCATTAGTTCCTTATTAAAGTTTTTGTTTCAGATATATTACTTATTCAAAAGAAGAGGAAGCAATTCGTTGCATTCAAAATGTACATGGATTTGTATTGGAGGGTAGACCTTTAAGGTACAACTATTTGCTTTTATTGAAACTTTTCATGCAGTGGGATGTTTGGACCAAGTCTTGCTTATCAAATTTGTATTTTTTGGTTTGTACATTTCAGGGCTTGTTTTGGAACCACAAAATATTGTCATGCTTGGCTTCGAAATATGGTATGAAAGTTACTGTGTCTTTGTAGATTTTTAAATTGTGCCTTAATTGATTAAGGTTTTAATTGGCGAGAGATCTCTATGACCAGCCTTGCAGCAATCCTGATTGTCTATATCTGCATGAGATTGGTCCTCAAGAAGATAGTTTTACAAAAGATGAAATAATCACAGCATACACTAGGTACTTTTTCGTATAATTTTGAAATATTTATTATAATTTGGTTGTAAAATAAACTCCATTCTTACGGCTTTGGGTATCTATGATCGTCATTCAAGCTGTTTAATTGGCTGAAGTGAAGGAGATTGTTTTACTTATATTGTGCTGAAAAAATTTGTGTTCTGGGTTCTGATGGAGTTCACTTTACATGAATCGAAGCTATGTTTTGGGTCTTTGTTTGCAGATTGTGCTTTTCTGTTTGGACACGTTCAATTGCTTGAACTGAATGTAGTCTTTTCAAATAATTATATATTGACTTTGTTGTTTTAAAGAAGTCGAGTTCAACAAATCACTGGTGCTGTAAACAATATGCAACGGCGGTCAGGGAATGTATTACCCCCTCCAGTGGATGATAACATGAATAATTCTTCAGAAAAGCCCATTGTGAAAAATGCTCCAAGTGTAAGACCTTTTTTATGTTTCCTATAACTGCTCTTGTTTAGGTGTTAAATTTGACCATGTCGTTGTTGGGTACCCATTCAATCTTTAATTGCCACACTGCTAGTGTAATGTGTTTATGCACATAGCAGCTTTATATGAAGAAACTGACATTTTATTTTATTTATGGAGCAGAACTCTGTTAGCACTGTAAGAGGTTCACCTCCAAATGGAGTCTATGGGAGACATGTAGCTCTTCCTGCTAGTGCGGCATGGTATGTACCATGTATAATTTTGTATTTGGCTTTGAAGATTGAACTTATGTAAAGATAATTATGGTTCCAAGCTATGTTTATGTTTGCTAGGGGTACCCAGGCTACAAATTGTGAGCCCCCTTTTGGTGGTCTATCATATCCAAGTGGGCCGTCCAAGCCAAAACCTGATACAGTCAGCAGTACACTAGCCTTTTCTGCAGCTGTTACGGGCACAATTCAGGCTTCTGCATTGCAAAGTGATGGAAAGAGGCCACTATCTAGTGATGGGAGTCATAGTATGACAGCTAGAGTAAAAAATGAATTGTTGAGACCTGTGAAACAATACAATAGCATGGACTCTCTGGCCAGTGCAGGTGAAAAAACTTCAGCTTTTGATGTTTCTCCTGTGCCCATGTATTTGAGCAGCCAGTTGTCTTTACCATTGTCCCTAGATAGTGATAGAGGCAGTTGTAGTACAGCAAACACAATAAATTCTATTAACATAACTGGACAGTTGTGTAGCTCTGGTCCTGAGGAAGCAATCACTGCTACCAATGAAGAGATTCAGAATTTGTCCAGTGAGTTGTCCTCCATTAACATTGATAGAAACACCTCAAATGAACACTATGGTATAGCCAAACCTAATAGCCCGCCTACTGATTATGTCTTGATAAAATCTCCTCAAATTCAAGGATCACAGCATAATAGTGACAGATTTAGAGATGTAACAACTACAAATGTTGCTGGTAAAACTCCTACATCAGATAATGGGGTTTGTTATTCAAGGGAACAGTGTGGTTGGAGATTGGATCCTCAATCTCAAGAAATATCAGAAACTGTTGAAGTGGAAGATGATGTAATGTCTTTTGATAATCAAAGACTCAAGGATCCAGAAGTTGTTTGTCATTCTTATTTGCCAAAGTCAACAAATTTCCTTCATATATCAAACCATTCTAGCCCTCATCTTCTGCAGCATGGTGAACTCTGTACTGCTGTAAATGCTGGTTCTCTATCTGCTCATGATAGTGTTCAGGATGAATCTATATTACATGCTTCTAGCATATTATCTAATGGCTGCCCTGAGAAATTGGTTAGCGGCAGCTCTTATGGATTGCTTCGTGATGAAAGAAATGGGCAAAGCATTGGAAGACCAGTTGGTGAAGCAGTAAATGCTGGACATGATGCTGCTATGGACAAGGGTGAAAGTAGTATAATTTCAAATATTTTGTCCATGGACTTTGATGCCTGGGATGACTCACTAACATCACCTCATAATTTAGCTAAGTTATTGGGCGACAGTACTGACAACCCTTCTGGTCCTTTAAAAAAATCTAGCTCTTGGAAAGTTCAAAGTAACAATCAGTCAAGATTCTCTTTTGCAAGACAGGACGAGTGCAGAATGCAAACATTTGATGTACATCCATCTAATGGTGTCAGCCAGCAACAGCCGAGGAGCCACTCACTCATCCAGAATTTTGCAGAGGGGGACTTGTATATGGATAAGGTGGGCATTGCAAATGGCTTTCCTACCAGTAACTTTGAGGAAGTTGAAAATGTAGGCGGCAGTCATTTTGTAGCTTCTTCTAATAAGCTTTCTGGTGAGTATCGATAGATTACTTGAACTTGCAACTGTCGCTTTTATTGTGTTTCCAGTGGCAAATCTTATTTTGGGATCCTCTGCTACTATTTTCAATTTCACATTTCAGTTATTGCTTTTATGACCTTCTTGCTGGAAGATTGAGTAAAATTTATTTAGAAAGTTTTTCTTTGTGATATGATTATAATTTTTTAGGCACGTTATGATTTAATATTCTTTCCCTTCAGATATTTTATTCCTTTGCTGCTTTGAAAAATGAAATATTGTGCCTTCCGTGATTTTTTTAATTCCTGTTGTTGTATGACCTGATTATGTTGTGCTGCATTTGGTATTTGATTCAATAATCATGCTTTGAAGATCTTGCATTTGTGTTAACTTGGAAAAAGAGAGAGAGAAATTGGTATCTTATTCATGACTTTTCAACAGAGTTAGAAAAAGGAAAAGGCTATGCTCAATAAGAAATGAGTTCGTTTGATTTGCTCGGCTCACCTTATGCTCACGAGCTACATTGAGTTTAATGAGTGAATATGGAGCCTCATATTAATTGAGCCTTATGTTATGCTTGAAATTTAAAAACAATAAATTCATTTCGTATGTTTAGTTTAAAAAAAATTAATCTGACAATAAAATGTCTTTCATATATGAGGAAGGATCGGTTTATCCTGGTGCTAGTCAAAATCACTCTTACATCATTCAATAAATTTTTAGTGGATATTTTATCTCAATCTATCATTGGATTAAAAGTTCATACCATATGAACTATTCATAAAATATTAATCCAAATTTATTTAGTACTTTGATAGTATCCATTTAACGAGTTGTTAACAAACAGTGCTTGGCTTATTGTCAACCTTTTTTTCAGAAATGAAAAAGCCATCCTGGGGCTTTACGTGAACTAATTAACCAACTAGTAAAATCCTTTAGTTGGAAGTGAACTTTGAAACTGATTGCACTCTTGTAAAAAAATATCAATATTGTAATTGTATAGAAGAATAACAAAAATTGCATATTTACTACAGTGTGACTGTGTTGGGGTTCCATTTGCAAGGTATGGGATTTGGAGTCCCACATTAATTGTATGGGCAACTAATGTGGGGTTTATAAGGCCTTGGGCACTCCCACCCTTTGAGCTAGCTTTTGGGATGATGCATCTCAAGGTCTCATCAAACTGAATGACAATTGCTTAAGTCCAAAGTACACACCATTCACGATTTAGTGCATCTATTTTAAATGTAATTGAATAACGTTCATTTTCAATTATGTGGTAATTCATGGTAGATAGCTGAAGCTGTTGCTTGATTACCTCATTTTCTAGGTAGTAGTTCAAAAGGTCTAGCAATGATCAATGCTGCAATCTTTGGGCTACTTGTTTGCATTCCTTCTAATTTATGCATTGTATGGCTTGTCATTTCATTTGCAGCTGTCTCAGCTTTGTATATCCATCTGATGACCTTGCTTTTTATCTTTTTTGTTTACAGCCATTTCAAGAGCACAAGTTTCTACCCCACCAGGATTTTCAGTTCCAAGCAGGCCACCACCACCTGGTTTTTCTTCTCATGAGAGAGTGGAGCAGAATTTTGACTCCATAACTGGTTAGTTATGGTTTCTTATAACTTTCCACGTGCCCTTTTTTCATATTTTTGTTGAATATAATTGTTATCCTTTTGGCAGGGAATTCATTGCTTGACCATTCTTCCATTTTGAGAAATTCATATCAGACACCCTCAACTGGGAATATTGGTGGCGCTGGGGACATTGAATTTATGGATCCTGCAATTTTGGCAGTTGGTAAGGGGAGATTTCAAGGTGCACTAAACAGCCCAGTGCTGGACATGCGATCAAATTTCATGCCACAGTTAAATTACTTTGAAAATGAGGCCAGACTACAATTATTGATGCAAAGATCTCTCGTACCGCAGCAAAACCTTAGATTTTCTGAAATCGGGAATACTTTTTCTCAACTTGGTGGTTCTTATGGTATTTCTTCAAGGTTAGATCAGTCACAAGTCAATGATGTATCCCCATTCCCTCAGTTGTCTCTACAGCAGTCTACAAATGCAGCCTTGTCAAATGGTCACTGGGATGGGTGGAATGAGGTGCAAAGTGGGAATGGTCTAGGTGTGGCCGAGCTTCTAAGAAATGAAAGACTTGGATTTAACAAGTTTTACTCTGGATACGATGAATCAAAATATAGGATGCAGAATTCTGGGGATCTTTACAACAGAACATTTGGGATGTGACTTGTTTCTAGCTATGTTGTCTTTCTTATTGTTGGAAATGGGAAAGCCAAGCAGAAATGGACGAACAATTTATTTTGCGTTAATGAAAATGTTGGGGCTGACTCTTCACTGGTCTATTGGGCTACCTAATGATGAAGCTCCCAAGAAGTGTAATTTATGGCTGCAGCTGGTAATTAGTAAACTTCCTCTGTTTTCTTGATTAAATTGGCTTATACGGAATTGCTCATTGTGCATGCTTTTGAAAGTGTCTTCACCTATGCCAAAATGAGATTGAAAAAAAGTTCTTTTTGTACTGGATTTCATGCTATCATATGTCAAGAATGACATTGCTGTTTGCTTTTATGTTATTGTGCACTCATTTCCCCCTTTTTTTGCTTGTAGTTCTGGATTTGCAGAAATGAGCTGTGTTGGGATTTTAAGATATCAACTGTCAATGCTAACGTGATCAAACTGGCAGGTAGATCGTAGTTGTGTGTTTTCCCTTGAAAGCAGAGAGCGTGAAAACTTGATTCAAAATCAAATAGATCCGTCCCATATTGTTGTAATTTTCTTTTTAGTTTAACAACCCTTGTGGGTAGAACTATAGAGGTTTGATGCGAATGGTTAAAGGGAAATTATTTTGGCAGTGGATTTACATCTTGGTAGAGTTTGGTAATCATATTGGGTATGAAATTGATCACTTTTTTAACTGGAAAGGTCCATGTGAATTTTTTTACGCTCTGGGCAGCTGGTGGATTCTTAATTTTTTTCCCTCTCCCTAAGATCTCTTATAGTTTTATTAATTTTGCCTTTTCTGTCTGCATAAATTTTTTATTTAATCACTTGCTGCAGAGATTTGCTTTTTAAGAGCGCTCTTTTTTTATCTTATTGTTTATACCCCGTTGTTTGGTTTGTTTCATTTAGCTGCCTTGTGAATTTGTTACTGGTTCTCAGGCTAATATTTACCAGCAGGGACGGGGTAATCCATGTCTCGTTATGAATGGCTTCGGGCATGACCAATTATCTGCATTTTCTGATGCAGCTGAAAAATTTGAGGTGCATTTGAACATAATGTGGACTTCAGTTAATGTTATTGTGAAATATTGATTTCGGGTTTGTTAAATGAGATCGGTTATTCATATATTCAAGGTTTCTGTTTATTTTTGGATACAAATAATGTATTCAATGTGCACAGGTTGAGCATATCTGGCCAACTTATTTACTGTTTGGTGCAGCAGAAAAACACAATCTTTCAAACCGTGTCTTCGTTGTCATATGATAGCATCTCGTAAGCGTGTTCACGTGGTATCCTTGCGATCATTACTTCTATTTTGTTTTTTTTCATTTCATTTAAAGAGGACAAAGTTCCTAAATAAGAAAAAATATGAAGAATTTAGGTGACGAGGTCTAGAGACTCCTACAAGATCTAGGGTCATATGATTGTAGGTTTGAATTCCTTCTCTGTTGTTAATGGCGTTGTTTGCAAATGGATCTGCACACATTTGAATTATCAGATATGATAAGTATGCAGATTAGACAGTGAATTCCCTCATCATTGACTTTCTTCAGACGCAAGGACCAGACATACTCTATGCCGCTTTGTAATCCAATAGCTCGACGTGTCTCTTCAATTAACAAGTAATTTTAAGAGTAAAATAAACATCTTATCAGGTTTGAAAACAATTTTGTTTAGTGCTGTAGTTGTGTTACTTCGATAATGGTGTGGGTGAGGTTATCTTAGCTCCAGGTAAGATGAGACATTACATGACGTCAAAAGTCGACCAGGACAGCAACTGTCTACTTATATATCGTGCTGCTTGATCTCAATTCCAATCGTACTACATATAAAGAATAAATCTGTTTGATGTCGTAATCTCAATCATTTATAAACAAATTAATAATTATAGAAAATGTGTTGAAATGGGAAGTGGAAAATATAATTATTAATTTATCTATGAACAAGGCGTTTTAGCAACAATTTTTGACCGAGAGTTGGAATTAGTTGTAGGATAGACAATGTTGATGATAATGTGATTTTAAGAAACACGAGCCTTTTGGGAGCATTTGGTAGAGAATAATTCTTTATTTGGTAGAGGATAGTTCTTTTTTTGTTTGGGAATAATGAATAATATGGTGGGAAAGTTAATTTTCAGGGAATGTTATCAAAGAGCTATTTGGTAAGTTAAAATATTATTGGGATTTTGCCTCAAAAAAAATGTAAAATTTTTACAATACCTGGGATGGCATTTTGAAAAAAAATTGTACACAACAAAATTTTGGAAAAAATTTCAGAAATTTTATATCAAATATGAGTAAATAGGATTACACTGTCACTTTGGAATCTCAAAAAAATCCCCCCTACAAACACCCCCTAATTGTCTTAGTTGTGTGAGAAGTTGACAAACTGGTATAAAATTGTAATTTTCATTATCCTATTATTGAATCGTAAAAATTCATCATCATGATCATTTATGTTTAAATATTGTGAAAATTAAATATAAGAAAATGTAATTTAATATGTATTTTCATTCTTTTTTATCTTATTCATGTTTTAAAAGTGTGCATTATGATACACCCTAAGTGAGAGAGCGTTCATACACGATGTGATAACACAATGATAGCATAAAACTTTTTACACATACAAATTAAGTTTATTAAAAGGATTCATTTTTTCTGCAGTTACCGCAGATAAGTTATCTGCAGTAAGCCCAATACGACATCGTTTTGAGGCAGAAATCATGGTGTTTTGTAATTTTAATTTACTTCAGGATTATAATAGTCTTTATATTATAATTTTTTAAGATTTCTATACCAAAACGACGTCGTTTTGAAAGTAAATGCAGATAACTTATCTGCATCAACTGCAGAAATATTTTTTCCTTATTAAAAATATATGAATTCTCATAAGTATAAGTTCAAGACACATATGCATTCAGTATAAGTTCAAGACACATAAGGGCTCTAACCATATTTCGGCTCGTGATCAATCCACAGATACCGATAGAAAATAAATAGGCACTCAAAACAAGTACATGTTCGAGCATCATTGACCAACTCCTTATCAATTTTGATTTATTTCAATATGAATAACAATTCAACGTATTAAATTAACTTAAAGAATATAACAAGTATGGAACAAAATAATATATCAGCAATTAATCAAAAAAACGATTTTCTACACAAACAAACGCCCTTTCACCCTCACATAGAATTCAACGGAAATAAATATGATAAATTCATATCAAATTGAATTTTTTATTTATATTGTTAGTTATAAAGATTTCTTACTGGCGAGCTACGACAATAGCACCTATCAAAGCCGATAAAAGAATTATTGAAATGAGCTCAAATGGAAGAAAAAATTCTGTTGATAAATGAATTCCAATTTGTTGACTAGTACTTATCAAATCTTGCTCTATAATCTGATTGGATCTTGTAGTCCAAATAATACCGTACCATGATGTATCTGGAAGAGTAGTTATTAGTGAAACAAAAATGCTTGTACAAATCATAAAAGTAATTCCATCCCCAACAGTCCAAAGATGAAAATCCACTTGAAAGATCAACAATTTAGTACGATTTTATCCATCAGTTGTAGCCAAATGAAGAATTAATTTGGGGAGGGTTTGAATATTCCATTGTCCATTTCCCATTTTTCAGTTAGTTACTGTTTTGAGGAGAAATAAAAAAAAAAGGAGGGGAGGTCCTATGGGCCCATTTGTATTCATTTTTTAAAAAAGTCCTTTTTATCACTTTTTTATTTTAAAAGTACTTTTTATAAAAGTTACAACTATTTAGATTTTTAGAAAAATATTTGATTTTTGAACAAAATATTTGGCTTTTGACTTCTGCTTTTTTGACTTTTTTTATGACTTCTGCTTTTTTTAAAAGCAGGCATACAAACAGACTTTTTTTCGAGAAGTGCTATTTTTTCTTAAACAAAGCAACTTTTGAAGAAAAAAAAAATTCATCCAAACGGGCTCTAACAGAAAGAGTTAAGTAAAGGAACAACCTATTTTTTTTTTCTTCTCGAAATTTATAGATTTTGTTAACATACGATCTTAAAACATAAATTTTAAAAAATAAAAATATTATATATTATTTTCCATCAATTTCTTTAAAAAGATATTAAATAATTTTAAAATTCAAAATATTAAATCTCTTTACCTTTTATTTAACATTTTTAAATTTTCAATTTCTAAACCTATATCTTCATAGCTTAAGATGACAATTTTTTTTGGGCCAGGAAAAGAATACAATCTGAAATCCAACTTTGTATATACAAGATTTTCAGTCCACCATCCCTATTTAAAGGCTGGTACATAAGGTTCTCAGTGTCTGATGCAACATACACTTATCATTGGGAAAAGAATAATTGTTGATTTGTTGCTCCGACCTACAACCCATTTGACTTCGGGTTGAATAAGGGAGAGGTAATCTTAAATAGAGATCCAATAATGGGAAATTGGGAACAGTTCTGGGAGTTAGAAGAATCTAGGGTTGTAGACTAATTGGGTACTTTGGTAGTTTAGAAAGGATGACCTAGTTCACAAGTGTAGACTCTAATGCCTTGGCCACCCATTTGTTTGCTTCTATTGATTTGTTCCCATATGACAAGAAGCATCCTCCGGGAAATTTTGGGATCCTTTTCAAAAGGAGTTAAGTGTTAATCCTTTTCAAAAAATAAGAAGAAAAAAAAAACTCGGATAAAAGAGATGGGTAGAATAAATAAAGTTAGGTGAGTTATTTTCTTCTTCTTCTAAATTTTAGTAACGGAGTACTAAAGATATATAATTTCCAAAAGAACCATCTATTGACCCTCTCAAGGACAAGGGGGCATAAGTGATTATTTTGAATAGGAGAGAAACATTCATAAGATTAAAGATGACAAGCAGAAACTGAAAGAACAAAATTTATCATGACCAATTTGAAATGACTTAATCAAGATTAATCTCATTGAACATATTTAGCAAAATAGATTCTAGATTAATCAAGATTTACCCTAAGGACAGAAACCTTAGCAAAATGACTTAATTAGGGTTCAATATTAAGTTAACAACTCACATTTGAAACATTTCAGAAGGCATCTTATGATGAGCCATATAATTTCACTGCAGGAAATTCCCCTCTTCCTGCATTAGCCGATTGTACACTGGCAATAGGTGCAAAATGCCTTGCAGCAGGAGCAAAGCCATGCTAATGCATGATGGTATAGATGTGTCTCCCCTCTCCACAATCTCTCTCCTATGCCCATTGAAGGGGTATCCAACCTCACCTAAACAATACACCTTCTCCCATTGAAGGAGCGTCTATTTTATCTATCTTATATGAGCTATTACCCTACTGGAATCTAGAGCACCATAACCACAACATATCCCCCATTTGATAATACACTTGAGAAACTCTAAAAGAGTCTTGATCCATATTATTGCTATCTGAAGCTTCCCTAGATTATAATTCACCCTTGGAGGGATACATCTTTAACTTTAAATCTACAAGAGTGCAGTAGCTTTCCTATCCAGTTCTACCAAGCATAACAATATAATTAAAAAAAAAAAAACAATATAAGTAGCGCTATTACTAGTGGGATTCCCACCGACGCTTCTCAATAATATGAGAATAGGTTCTATTGGTTTTTTTGACCCTTATGACCCTTAATTAATAATTAATTACCAAATTGCTCTTCATTCAAAACTATTTCGAAAATTTACCCTCC